GACTGCTTGCGCAATTGGCTGCTGTGTTTCGCCCACAAATATACAGTCAATTCATTTTACGTATATTCTGTGAAGCGCTTTGAGACGTCTAGAAGACATGAAAAGCACTATATCAAATGCAAGGATTATTATTATTATTATACTCTTAAGGGTTATTTTTTTGTTTTGGACCACATTATCATGTGCACTCCTATTGATACCAATGGATGAACACAGTGGTATTTGAAAAAAACATTCAAAAGAAACAAGACCAGAAAGTTGCTTTGTGGACATGCATTCAAGAGTAATAGTACTTTGGAGTTTTTTTTTACCATCCACTTGAAGTAACAGAATACAATACAGCAATACAATAACTTTACATCAGGACTGGATTAACCTTTTTTGGGTTTAGCGCCAAAAAGATGTGTGGGCTCCCATTTTCATGTGCTCTATTTCTAAGTAAAGGGCCCAGTGGGGGATTGGCTCTCCAAAAGGGCTTGCAATTGTGAAGTAAAATAGGAGTGTCGATTCATGGTGGTGGTGGGGGGTAGCGCTCAGCAGCCACTCATGGCGACCCTTGGCCGCAAATCACAGGGGTGCTTGGGAAATTTTCCAATTTCCCATAAAGTCAGTCTGCCGCTGAAGAGGCCCCTTCTGAGCATTGGCCTGGCGCCAAGGTACCATTGTTAAACCGCCACTCCATTACATGCATGATCATGATCCAGGGTTCTGGTATAGCTGAATCAGATGCTATCTGACAAAAGAAGTTCGAACACTGAAAGTGCAGAATTGCCTTTCTTACCAGGATGTCAATTGTCCTTCAGGTTGAGGGAAGCGATGAGCATCTCTGGTCCCACTGCAGTCTTCAACTGGTCTGGTTAAACCACCGTCTGTTAAGTGATCCCATACGCTTACGCAGTTGTCTATTGTGTGGAATAGTAGCAAATGTCTTTCTGAAATGCACCTTTTCCAAAAAGCCTGTTAACTTCCTTAAATATTCTTATAAATTGTTAAGCCTGACCTTCCTCTCTGATTAGCCTGTGCACTTTAAGATTATTTTATACCACCCCTCACCATTGTTTCAAACAACTTTTCTTGTATCAAAATAAAGCTTACAGGTCTGTCATTTGATGATTCATCATTATAACAGTAACTTACATTTATATAGCACCATTCATGTAGAGCAGGGTGGTCTAATCTTATGGCTGCCGAGGGCTGAATGCCCTAATTGAGAATCTTCCCTGGGCTGCATAAGCAATATGTTTGTATTTTCCTTTCAGAAACATAACATTTACAAGTTATGGAGGGAACGGGAGCTCTGAATGAACTGGAGGGAGAGGGGTTGGGTGGATGAAATCGACCCACGTGCTGCCAGTTGGATTATTCTGATGCAGAGAAATAACTCCAGCATGTTTTGTGTATGACATTACATGATCTGCCTCATTACATGATCAGATCTAATATGAAATCATTAATAGAAGAAACCATTCAACTTCCACAGCAAACTCCCCCTTTATTCCTGATTGTCTGTGGCTTGAAATCACTTTAGAATCTTATCCTCTACAAACTTTTGTAGAGCTTGTAAAAATAATTAATTTTTTACAGAACTGTGAAACTCATGAGGTAGTGTTTCTCATAAATTCTTGGAAAAGCTTCCTGTTGTCCTTTTGGGTAAAGGCACTGCCTGTCTGTCAGTATTAGCCAACACTTATTGGAAAGTTACAGGATTGAATCCTGGTCTCTGCTGAGTTAGCAGATCTCAGCTGGGGTATCAGTTAGAGCCACAACTTGTCACATTACCTCCAACTTAGGGAAACAAATGAGCCAGGTTCCTGCTCCTTTACAGTACCTAGAAAATAAGAACATAAAAACATAAGAATTAGGAGCAGGAGTAGGCCATTCGGCCCCTCGAGTCTGCCCCGCTATTCAATAAAATCATGGTTGATCTGTTCTAACTCCACCTACCCGCCTTATCCCCATATCCCTTAATCCCTTTATCCACAAGAAATCTATCAATCTCAGTCTTGAATATATTCAAGGACTGAGCATCTACTGCCCTTTGGGGTAGAGAATTCTATAAATTCACTACCCTCTGAATGAAGAAGTTTTTCCTCAACTCAGTGCGAAAGGGCTTACCCCTAATTTTATGACTGTGACCCCTGGTTATAATTTCTCCAACCAGGGGAAATAGTCTCCCACTATTTATTCTGTCGTGCCCCTTAATAATCTTATAGGTTTCTAAAAGATCATCCGTCATTCTTATAGTTGGAAGGTGCATTTAGCTGGATATTGTTTGAGGAGAGGATCAGGCTTAATGTAATACCCCACAATCGAATAACCTGCTCACACGTGAATAATGAAGAGAGGAGGAAAGTCTTGAATAAAGTGAAATTAAATTTATTTCAATTTGTGTAGAAATTGCATTGCAAATAAATATTACACTCTGTCACATCTTATCACTGATCAGTGAACAAGTCCTCTTCATTATATTTTTCAATGAATGAAAGATTTTGCTCATTGAAGATGCTTGCATTTTGTGTCCAATAGTCTTTTTACGTGCAGTGGCTGACATGTAATATCTTTGTTTTATCTGAATTGTATATGTTGGTATTCTTGCTCATTGTGTATGAAGATAATGTGTACAAAAGCACACAAATGAACAGTAGGAAATAATTAGTATTACGTGAATTGTGAATTGTCCAGAATTATTATTCACGGAATTATTTTATGTGAATTGTGCTATATACTTGTAAATTGTCATCATTCAGTTGAAGCTATAAAAAGAGGATAAATTCACAAAACAGATGTTGCATTTTACATGCCTACAAATGTATATCAGTTTAGCTCAGTGTAGCATTCTCATTTCTGAGTCAGAAGGTTGTGGGTTCAGGAATTGAACTCACATCGTCTCCAATGCGGTGCTGGGGCTTGCATTGTTTTAGGTGCCGTCCTACGGATGAGGCAGTAAACTGAGTCTGCCTTTTCAGGTGGACATTAAAGATCCCATGGCACTATTCGAAAAGAGAAGGAATTTCTCCCAGTGTCCTGGTCTAAATCCCCCAAATAAAATAATTTGTAATTTGTTTCATTGTTGTTTGTGGGGTATTGCTGTTCACAATTGTGCTGCTACATTTGCCTACAAATACACCAAGTCACTTCATTTCACAATAAAATTCTTGTAAAACATTTTGAGATGTGCTTCCAATGAGATAAGGCAATGTGGCACAGTCCCACAGCACCAGTGCCCAGTCAACAAGGAGTGCAAGCTAAGCTCAGGAGAAGTCCGTATACCATTACCTAACAGGCATTAGATAATAATTGAGAATTGTTTCTAGGAATCGCACAAACACGGCTAGAAGGATAGAAGGGCATGAGATACCTAAGAGAGTAAGATGTTTCACAAGGAAGGACGTAAAGTTGAATAGAGAAGTAGCATTCCTTATCAGTGAATTGGTAATATCTTAGATGGAATGTAACAGCAGAATAAGCGAGGACAGAAGTCCACATAGAAATTAGTTGCAGCAGGGCCACAAAATAGTCATTGGGAACTGAGATTGATCCCGTTTAAGCTGAACAAAATACAGATTTCCAAAAGACTACAATAATAATATTAATAATAATCCTTGCATTTGATATAGCGCTTTTCACGTCGGGAGAACGTCCCAAAGCGCTTCACAGAACACACTGTAAAGTGAATTGACTGTATATTTGTGGGCGAACGCGGCAGCCAATTGCGCACAGCAATGTCCCACAAACAGTCGTAGATTGAAAATGACCAATTTATTATTGTTTTTTGTTTTGGAGGGATTATTATTAGGCGTGTGGAGTAAGGAAACTTGTCCAAGGTTTCGCCCTTGGGGCGAAAATCATAATATAATATTCATTAATATCTTAATTTATTAAAAATTATTAAACTAGGACAACCAGAAGAGTGGAGTGAGTGAATATACAAATGCTATCTTACAGCTCACAAGTAGCTGCTTCTTAATGTATCAAGCAGAGTACAAGAACAGAAATTACATTAGATTTAGTATTCAGACAGTGTCCACAACTGATCAATGAACATTTTGGCTCCAGTGATCATTGTATATTTAGACTTAATGTTGTATTAAAGACCAAGATCAAAAATAATAACACTGAGGTGCAGGACCAAAGGAATGCAAATTTAAGAGCTATGACAAGAGCCCAAGGGAGGATTAACTGGAAAGCACATTGAGAGAATAAAACAAAAGAGGAAAAATGTATTCCTTTGGGACAATTTTAACAGAACATGAAATATAATGCACTCATATGAGTAAAAAAAAGGTACCTTGCAGTACAAGTTTAAAAGATTGAGTGAGGCCAAAGCTAACCTGAAGATTAAACAAAAATATTTTTTAAATATACAAGGAAAAACTCATTGTAAATTACAAAGTAAACTTTTGGAGCCAGGATCTTTATTGTGCTGCCACAAAAACTCACTTAGTATATTCAACCACAAATTGTTGTGGTATATGACAGAGCTGTAAGATTTGTTTTTTATATTATCGTAAAATTAAATACTTGCACTCTGTGGTAAATATTTTATGTTAAGATTACAGTAAGATAATTAATAGGATAAATAATGGATAGAGGGAGTTAAACCTGTATACATCAACTAAGGAATTAAGTTGACAAAATCTCAAGCAATTTAGGTATGCCTTCAGAATTCTATAATTGATCAAAAAATAACTCCTTTTATATTTACAAAAGTTTAGCTGATTTTGATTTCCACAAAACAATGTTTTGTAATAATTGGTTGAGGAATTATGTACTGTAATCATCCTCCCAAATATGGGTTTGACTCACATTCTTTAATCCAATGGGTCAGTCTCCTATTATAGCCCCAGATTTCTATGGTCCTGTGTTTAACGTACGCTTGATGTCGTATTTGGTCATTTTCATTTGGAAGGTTGCATGAATCCTAGTCTTTAGTTTATTGAAAATCATGCAGTGCAAGTGTCAGTTATTTTACACATTTCTCTCTTTCTTCCCCCACAAAGTATGCCATTTGGATGGTCCTCTGGGCGACGTGGAATGTGTTTATTATCTGCTTCTACTTAGAAGTTGGAGGCCTTGAAAAGGTAATTTACCATCTGATGTTTCAAAGATCTCAGCACTCTGTAATAATACAAGCCGTTGAATAAGTGACAATTTCTATGAAGCATTCTTCCTCCTGAGATATTTTAAGTGTTTTACCAAATCATTTTTCACTACATTAACACAACTGAGCTTACACTTGGTATGCAAACATGTGATGATAAGCAATTGTTGGAAAGTATAAATCCATTCCGATAGAGAAAATAATATTGCATGTTTGTTTTAATCGCGAGTAAAAATTGAGAAATTATAATTTCTCCATGAGAAAAATAAATTATTTTGGTTGTTCTGAATGTTCATACAGTCATTATTGTGCTGATACCGACAATTCCAACAGTATCAAATTCCATAAATGTTGCAAAGTACTGCTGTTGAAAAGACACAAATGGACTGTGAGGTATTTGCTGCAATGAAATTCAGTTGGTTGAAATGAAATAAAGCCAAGGATTAATAAAAGATTTGTAAACACAAAAAAGATCCAGAAGAAAATCTAGATGTAAGTAAAATTGGCTACAGGCTAGTTGTGTACTGTCATGTCCTATTGTCATCTATTACTTGAGCTGTCTGCTAGGTTTTCTTAATATTAAGTATCAGAAACAATGCATCTATTGATACCTCCATAGGAGGTAAAAAATTGTTTCATTTTGTCGCTAGACCACCTTCTCATGGCCTGTAACAGAACAAGAGTAATGGTACCTCAGAACGATCTCTGCCTCCCAGCTGAAAGAGCCTGCCTTGCAGTGGATGGTTGCTGTGGGGAGATACTGAAATAAAATAAAGCACCAGCCCCCTCCTTCCACCATGGCCCCTGCCACTCCCCCCTCCCTACACTCCTTTACCCCGATTACTCCTATCTCCCCCTCAACCACCATCTCCCAGATGAATCCCACCGCCTGCTGCCTCGACCTCCTCCCCACCCAGTTGCTGGTTAGGTCACCTAACTACCCCTCCTCGCCCCGCTGCTGGCCGACACAGTCAACCAGTTGCTCTCCTCAGGTTCTGTCCCTCTTAATACCGCTATCATCACACCCCTCCTCAAAAAACCCACTCTTGATCCCTCCAACCTCATAAATTACTGACCCATTTCCAATCTACCCTTCCTTGCCAAAGCTCTGGAACGCATTGTCGCTAACCAGGTTGGCTCGCACCTTACCCGTCGCTCCATCCTCACACCGCTCCAGTCTGTTTTCTGCTCTGCCCATAGCACAGCGCTTGTCAAGGTCACAAATGATGTCCTCTCTCTCTGTGACCAAGGCTACCTCTGCCTCCTCATCCTCCTGGACCACTCTGCCGCATTCGACCCAGTCGACCACGGCTCATCCACCGCCTCTCCTCCCTCATCCACCTTCTTGTGACTGCACTAGCCTGGTTCAAATCCTACCTAAAGAACCGCCTTCACTTTATCTCCTCAAACGGTTTCTCCTCCCGCCTTCGCCCAGTCACTTGTGGTGTACCCCAGGGCTCCATACTTGGCTCCCCTCCTCTTCCTCAACTATATGCTCCCTCTTGGTGATGTTATCCTTAGACATAGGGTAAACTTCCACATGAATGCAGATGACACACAAATCTACTTCTCCACCTCCATCTGCGACTCCAGGTCCACTGATGTTCTCTCGGCTTGTCTGGCGGACATCAGGGCCTGGATGAGTGAACACTTCCTACAACTCAATGTTGATAAGACGGACGCCACACTCATTGGCTCACGTCAATGTCTTCTATTCTGCGGGTCTGACCTATTCAACCTCACTAGTCTATCCCTCAGACTTACTGAACCAGTGCGCAACCTAGGCATTAGGTTTGACCCACAGCTGTGCTTCCTTCCCCACATCCAGTTCCTTCCTTCCCCACATTCGGTTCCTCCACCTCTGCCACATTTCCCGCCTCCAACCGTAGCTTACCCCAGACTTAGCCAAAACACTCGTCCATGTGTTTGTTACCTCCCGACTGGACTTCTCAAATGTATTCTTTGCTGGTCTCCCCAACTCCACCGTGCACAGGTTCCAGCTGATCCAAAACTCCGCCGTCGCATACTCACCTGTACTGAACTCCATACCTCCATCACACCAGTCATAGCCAGGCTCCACTGGCTCCCTTTTGGCAAATGGATTTCAAGATCCTCACACTCGTTTTCAAATGTCTTCATGCCCTGGCACCTCCCTGTTTCTCTGACCTGCTTATCCCCCAACCCACAACTCACTGCCTCCCTTCGACTGGCTCCAGAAGGAGCATGTCCTTCGTGCTCTCCTTTCCACCATTGGTGGCTGTGCTTTCAGCCACTGCACCCCGAACCTCTGGAACACTCTTCCTCTATCTCTCTGCCTTGCCCCTTCCTTCTCCATTTTCAGGTCGCGCCTGAAGACCTTCCTACTCGATCATGCCTACGGTCACCTCCCCCTCACGACAGCTCTGCCACTGTCAAGCGCTCTGATTACTTGACAAAATCCAATGTAGAATAGTGGTGAATCCCAATATTTTTCTTAACAACAAGTAAACTTGAAAAGACCCAACATTTACCCGAGCGGATTTTACCACAAATGATTGTGAATTGCTCTTTTACATCTTGGTTAATAGGGGGGATAAACTGCTGATGATTAATGTAAAAACAATGCAGTATGTTATCACTCCATGAAAGTAAATTCACACTGAATTCAACCTTTGGGTTTGTTATTGGAGTTTGGAGGTCACAAGACATAAACAATGGAGTAATATGCAAATAAATCGGATTTCACAGAAAATCATCTCCTTGCCTGAAAGAAGATAAACATATTTCTTTGTTAGGAGACAACTGTTTTCCATAAGCTACTTGCAGCTAAATCACTATTTTATGCCACACAATTTACTTGATAGATTTTGCTATGCAGATATGGTGCTGCGAGGGCTTGAAATTACTTATGCTTATTCATGAAAAATGTGCTATTTGCATGATTTCTTTTGTTTATATTACGCTTAATAAATGAATGGGTCGCATTCTGATTTGCATCAAGTGAGAGTGTTTTAAATCTCCAGATACAACACAATTGAATTCATAAGGTTTAAACACGATTCTTAAATTTCAATCATCTGGACCTGTGAAGTATTCCTTCACCGACATAGAGAAGCAATGGTACTTTATAAACGTACTTTACAATTGTACTTTACAATGGTACATTACCTGGGTGTAGGCATTTAAATGAAATCCTTCGTTTTTGGCAGAGTGTATAAAAGTATGTATCATTTTAAAGGGCATATTCATTCAAGGAAACAAAAATACTTTACATTCATATAGATCCTTTCACAAGCATCTCACTTCAGAAAACGTCTCAGAGTGCTTCACACAACTGAAAATAGTTAAATGGCTTGCATGCAATTTTATAGGTTCGATAAATGGTCTGCAAATATGTGTCTGGTGATGCAATAAGATTTCTACCGACCTTGGTGATCTCGGTTGCAAACCTTTCCTGCGATAATGAAATGTGTTTTAAAAATAACCAACGTGTATAAAGCTTTATCATAAGAATTTGTCCACTTTATGACCGATATCACGAGAGATTCTGACCAGAACTATAAGCAGTGCTCTTGGATGCAGCCTGACCAGAGCACTATACAGTTTGAGTATTATTACTGAACTCAACTGCTTTCAAAGCATATAGCAGTGACTACTGCAATCTGACCTTTCCCCCAATGACAAAAATGGCATCTCTGAAGTGAATCTTTTGCTGAAAACAATTTCTACATCCGGACTTATCATCAATGTTGCTCCTGTAATAAATTAAAGTTTAAGTGCTTTGAGGCATCTTCCTGATGTGAAGGCACTAAATAAATGTAAATTATACTATTTATGCAGGACCAAAAGATGTTTTTTCTTGGTCATTACTTTAGATTATAGTCAAAAGCGTTTCCTATACAATACACAGTACCTACACTTTACAGTTTATTCTGTGAAGTGATTTGAGACTTCCTCCCAACATGAAAGGCAATATATTAAATGCAAGGATTATTTATTTGTGTAAGATGAAATTCATTTTTGGCATATAATTAGAAGCCTTTTTTCAAGGAAAATACTAAGATAACTTTGATAACAGTTTATTTATTTGTTGGTCTGTTTTACTGCACTGATCTTTTTAGTTCATGCAGTCAAATCATCAGAGTTTTAATAAAAATATGCTGATGACTTGACTTGTTCCCCCACCTGATCTGCTACAAAGATAAAGGGAAAAAAAATGAATAGGATGCGTTCAAATAGCAGCCGCCTTGGGAATGTTGTGTCAGATCTTGTTGAAAGGAAATAAATGGCATTTTAAGAGGTCAAAATATCGGTAGGACCTGTCAGGGGTAGAAGTGCTGCCTTGGTTTATTGTGGAATAGATTTGACAACAGTTATGTAGGTCTTTCATCCTCACAGCTGGAAAGGGAAGAAGAGCAAAGATGGGCAACAGGAGGTTTGAAAAGTGTGGAGAAAATCAACAGTACTTCTTTTCATGTGGCAGGCATTTAAGACACAATTAAAATGATCTGTACTGGTAATAGTTCAACGTAAATTTTGAAGGAAGACAAAGCTTTGAATTACTGTACCGTTTTTGTGCTTTAATCTTGGAACCAACAGCAATATACGTTTATCATGAAAGTGAAATATATTTTACAATCCTTTTGATGAATCTTGTTTTTTTGTGTGTTCAATACATGTTGAAGTACAGAATATATAGTCCTGATTGTTATGTATTGATCTAATTTACACTGGAAACTGGAACTTTTCTGACTCAGTTCCAGTTAACCCTGCAAGGCAATGCCCCAATAAGTGTGGGAGAGAGTGCTCATTTCATTCTAGACACATATACATTTCCATATGGAGGTGGCATATATATATGTGGAAATTTCAGTCTTGTTTGCATACTCTTAAGCTGAGTGGTTTCTGTATGCATCAGATACCCAACTGACCAAAACAAAAATCTAATTTGCAAATTGTATTCATGTATAGAAACTACAGTATTGACATGTTCATACTTTA